AACACTTTCTACTTTGCTGTAGGTCTGTTCATCTTATTCTTTGCCGACGAGCGGGCGTAGCCATTTGAATCTTTTTGGCTCGAGACTTCTGGTCGTTAAAAACTGCTTGTTTCGAGCCACCGCTATTTTCTTATTATATTATTCTACTTGGTCGGTGTAGTCATGCAAACATTTATTTGTAGGGGTGTCACGATTTTGATTTTTAATCGAAATCAATCGAAATTTATGCTCAATTTCGATTATCGAATCAAAAAATAGAATCGTCGATGCCGCCACGCCCCCATGTCACGTCAGCTCGGCTTGCCAAGCGGGAAAAAAACAGGCTTGTTGAAGTGCTTGTTAAACTGCAGAAGCAGGAGACCCGTCGACAGAACTTAAACCCTCTCCTCTTTCAATGTAGTCGCCGGTGTGGAAGCATTTTGGATTTCCAGTGAGTTATGTTGACAACGTTCGTGTTGTCAACAAAAAAAAACACAGTTTTGCAAGCTCTGCTATGTACGTATTACGTACGGTTCGTCCGATAGACAACACCGGCATCGCGATCCTCCGCCCGCCCCCTTTGCAAATCCACTCGCGAAAAGTACACACTCAGGCCCTGTTTACACTGTCTTTGTTTTTAAATGGCATTTTAGAACGACAACGATTTGACATCCACAGTGGCGTGTAGCGTTTCTGAGCAGCCCTCCTTCCTCTCTACCTCTGAAAATGCAGATCACGTGACCACACAGACACAGACGCACACACAGCCATGCGCTCGAGACAGCAGGTTCAGGCAGTCAGAGGACTGCTTCAATCTTTCACTCACTTGTACTTAGTCATTTTAGCGAACACCTCAGATACTGTTGGCTGGTTCCTGCTGGTTGTGCGTCTTTTTTACCGACGCCATTATAATGACACAGATCACTGCCTATTCACGAGTCCCGCAGAAAAAGTGATTGACAGGTGGTAATTATGTGTGTATCTTGCCTTTATTCATTTACTGTATGATTTGTTTATGGGTAAAACAAAGACCATGCAGGTCAGGTAGTTTAAACGGTAGGCTACAAATAATTAATTGGTCATTAATTAATTAATTATTCATAATCGAAAATCGAATCGAATCGTGCCTTTAGAATCGAAAATGTAATCAAATCGAGGATTTGGAGGATCGTGACACCCTAATTTGTTTGTAGAGCCAGTAGTTTGACCGTTTTCTGCCATTTATTATTTCTAGTCATTTCTCCCATAGGCGACTGAATCGGAAGTTCTAAAACAATCGTGAAAACAGGCGCACTTCCGCATTTAAGAATGAGGTCAATATTGAAAGGCTGAATACGTTAATGCAGACCTAATCATTGTAGCCTGACAGATGAACAAATACAATTAAAACCGTATGAATAAATAGGATATCTCGTAAGATACTGCATGATCCAAATATAACATTATTTGATACATATTTAAAAGTTTCCATTACATTTTGGGCATGAAATCCACCCTTTTGATGGGATCAGTTTAATTCAGATTTTTTTTTAATATAAAAGTGATCCAAATCCTACAAAAAAAGGTCTGAAAAACTCAAACTAAAGGTTTGAACTGGATCAAAACCAAGATTGGATTACGTGATCTAATCCAATTATGTAATCCGTTTTTTCTTTTTAAAAACCTATTTTCAAGATTTGATCCAATCTCTTATCCAAAACCCTAGTGGATTACTTTTGAAAAACCAGCCCCTGGAGAATAAATCAGCCTCAGACTTTAAAGGCTGATTTATACATTGCATTGGGTGATCGGCGTGACCCACGGCACCTGCCTTGCATGTAGCCGTGCATTGACATACTTCTGCGTGCTGTTTGTGTTGCTCTACAACAACACTTCCCAAACACGCGCTGGCAGCAGGTTTGTATGCTCGTCTATGTCAAGTTTCTTCGCGGGTGTTTGGTTCTTTCTAAACAATATCTTAATGTACAAGTAGCTCAAACTCGCTCATTCAGAGGTGGGAGCCAGCAGACGTGCAACAACTTTATCATAAGATAAACACAAAACAGCTCCTGCACACTTGTAAACCCTCCCTCCAACCAGCTCTCTGCTGTCCCGCAGCTCTCCGTTCATGCGTGTCAACCAAAGAGACTAAACAAAGAGCTTGCGCTACACATCTTTGCAACGTGCAGTTACCTGCTTCTTCTTCTTCTTCATCTTCTTTTTCTTCTTCTTCTTCTTGTGATCATCTTCACTGTCTGAGGATGAACTTTCAGACGAGCTGGAGTCCTAACAAACACAGAATACACACACATGTCAAAAACCAAACAGAATAGACACAAATATCATCTTCTATTAATTTGTGTTTTTTTTACCATCTTCTTTATCTTCCTCTTCAGCTTCTTCACTTTCTTCTGCAGCTTCTTCAATTTCTTCAAGTTTTTCTTCTTCTTCTTCTTCTTTTCATCCTCACTGTCTGAAGTGGCTGCATGGCAATCCTGGCACAATGAAATAAATAAAATGATGCACTAAAATCAGAGGCGATCAACAAAATGTGGGATGTCTTGATGCATTGAATATACAGCTGAAGTCAGAAATATTCGCTCATTATAAGTAGTGTTGAACAGATTCAGGATTTTTCCACAGTATTTACTACAATATTGTTTATTCTGGAGAAAGTTTCATTTCGGCTAGAATAAAAGCAGTTTTAACCCATTTTAAGGTCAATATTATTACCCCCTTTAGGCAATATCAGTTTTGGATTGTCTCCAGAACCAACCACTGTTATACAATGACTTGCCTAATTACCCTAACTTTACCATAATTACCCCAGTTAGGCCTTTAAATGCCACTTTAAGATGAATACTAGTGTCTTGAAGAAAATCTAGTCTAATATTATTTACTGTCATCATGGCAAAGATAAAAGAGTTATTAGAAATGAGTTATTGAAACTATTATGATTATAAATGTGTTGAAAAAAACTATGTTAAACAGAAATTGGGGGAAAAAATATACAGGACAACGAATAATTATGACTTTAACTGTATTTCAAGAGCTCACACTTAGCTGATAATTGATTATGAAGCTTGTTTGGCATGCTGTCCCGGGAGAGAGTCCTGAGCTCATAAGATCTTTGAGCCCGGGGCTCCCTCCCATTTGGAAGGCGAAAGGGGAGTTTGAGCTCAGGTACATCTAGAGAACTCTCCTGCTGTAGTAGCTATAAACAAATAGCGATTGCTCTTAAAAGAAAACTACTTACTAGGAGCATGTCTATGGTGCTGATTTTGATTAGTCGATTAACTTAAGTTGCATGTTTTGGATGGTGGGAGGAAACCGGGGAACCCGGGGGAAACCCACGTGAGCGCGGGGAGAACGTGTAAACTCCACACAGGAATGTCAGCTGGCTTGGTAAGGACTAGAACCAGTGACGTTCTTGCTGTGAGGCAACAGTGCTAAGCACTGGGCCACCGTGCCACCCATCTAGGAAAGGAGGAGGAGTAGGAGTGGAAGGGGGGATTCTTCAAAACGAAGATGATGGCTGTGATATGGAGCTGAGGGTATTTATAATGGCTTAGGAATCGTCTCATTGGTGAATAATAAATTTAATAATGCGGGACTGGCTGCAAGCAATCACAAGCACATGATCCTCTCGACATTAGTTTATAAATAATCTTCAATTAATTAAAATATGATGCTACCACTACTACTACTAATAAAATGGTAAGAATCTTATAGAAGGAATAAATTACTTTGCGTTTCTTCTTCTTCTTGTCTGTTTTGTTTTCTCCAGCTAGAGTGAATTCAGTGAGTCGCTCCAGACCTGAAGATCCAGACCAGATGTCATCATACATGCAAACATAAAAGAAAACACTGGGAAACGTGTGCTTCTCCTGTCATACTAATACACCTCTGACCAATTATACAAATCAAACTTCACTAATAACGTGCATATACTTCTGTTTATTCATTCTCCTTCGGCTTAGTCCCTTATTTATCAGGGGTCATCACAGCGGAATGAACTTCCAACTATTCCAGCATTTGTTTTACACAGCGGATGCCCTTCCATCTGCAACCCAGTACTGGGAAACACCCATACACACTCATACACTACGGACAGTTTAGTTCATCAGTTCCCCTATAGCGCATGTGTTTGGACTGTGGGGGAAACCGGAGCACCCGGACGAAACCCACGCCAACACGGTGGAACATGCAAACTCCACACAGAAATGCCAACTGACCCAGCCAGGACTCGAACCAGCAATCTTCTTGCTGTAAGGCCACAGTGCTAACCACTAGGCCACCGTGCCACCACTATTCATAATGCAAATACCACTCATAACATTCATACTATTTATCCAAATCATTCTGCTCATTCATAATCCTCATGTCACTCAATCCTGCTACTCATATATATACTATTCAGACTACTTAATCATATTATACATTACAGAGTACACATACAACATAGATGCATGCTTACAAAGCACACACACACACACACACACACACATACCATAATTGCATACACACATACATACATACACACACACACACACACATAAAACAATCACACACACACACACACACACACATATTATAGATATATGCATTCACAGACAGACAAACACCCAAACACATTACAGATATGCACACACACACACACACACACACACACACACACACACACACACACACACACACACACACACACACACACACACACACACACACACACACACACACATTATAGATATATGCATTCACAGACAGACAAACACCCAAACACATTAAAGATATGCACACACACACACACACACACACACACCATGCTTGCATACACACATACATACATACACACACATACATATAAAACAATCACACACACACATATTATAGATATATGCATTCACAGACAGACAAACACCCAAACACATTACAGATATGCACACACACACACACACACACACACACACACACACACACACACACATGCATGCATACACACACAATCGCATACACAACACACACGCACACACACACCTCCGCAATCACATGCACACACAACATACATGCACACACACACACGCACACGTACGTACACTCACAATCGCGCACACACAACACACATGCACACACACAACCACACATCTAAACACACAATCGTACATGCACGCACGCATGCTTGCATACACACACACACAACCACATATCTACACACACAATCACACACAAAAACACAACCACATACCTACACACACGCACACGCATGCATGCGCACACACACAAATCTTGTGTTCTTACCTTCCACAATCGTGTTCTCTGTCAGGGGACTCCATCCTTTCCATTTCTCTTTCTTCTTTTCTTCCTGTGAAAGAGAGAGTGTGTGTGAGTGAGTGAGTGTGTAGTGTGACCCAGATAAGTCATGAGGACGATGTAAATGCTGTTGTTTTGTGGTAAACATGCTTGTTTCATAATTATAGCAGCAGTGATGAGACGCATTCAGTAAATCATGTTTTCCAGCAGCAGAGGCACCGTGACTGAGGTTTAATCACAGCCTGACTCAGGCCACTCTCTGCTGCAACACTGGAGAAGAAACACTGCCTTTATCTCATTTAAAATGCTTCATATGAGTTTTGTCCATCAGCTGGATTCACAAATAAGATGCTTAGAAGAATTAATTGCTCTTACACTCAACAACAACAACTAAAAAACAACTAAATTACACGCAACACAAAATCAACCAATCAAATCAATCAACCAGCCAATCAACTAAATAATCAACCAATTAAAATCAACCAGCCAATCAACTAAATAACCAACCAACCAAATAAATAAATAAATAAATAGATAATCATATCAATCAATTAATACCCATTCAGTTGCTCTTGCACCAAAAAACTAAAATTTTTTTGACTACAAATAATAGATTACAGACTGTCCAATTCCAAAAAAAAAACACAAAAAAAACAAAGAATCAATCAATCAATAAGCAATTATTCAATCAATCTCAAATAAATCTTCATCAAGATGCTTTTAAAAGCAACAAACAAATTTCATGACTTGGCAGGCATGCACCAAAACAAACAAACTTAAACACGAACAAACATTTAAATAACTTAATGGCTGGTATCTAGGTTAAAACAAACAAACAAACTAACAAACAAACATAATGACTTCTGCCTGACAAAAAACAAACAGATGTTTTAAGTGCTGGCCAGCAAACAAACAAACAAACAAACAAACAAACAAACAAACAAACAAACCCAATTAGTGGCTGGCTAGCACTAAATCAAACATAAATCAAAAAACAAACAAACAAACAAACAATTACTAGTGGCTGTCCAGCCAAAACAAACATACTTACAAACAAATAAATAATAAACAAATATTAGCTAATAAATAATTTCCTGGATAGCACTAAAACAAAAAACAACATAACAGACCAAATAACAAACAAACAATATATACACTAACAAAAAACCCAC